CCCCCCCACCACAGGGGGGTCGGGGCGGTTTCTGTGGGAATTCAGCCACGTTGCGCAAAGGTGAGATTCTCACCCGGTGTCAGATATTTGGAGCAAAAGTCTGTGCACTTCATAGACCCTGTTGAGATGCTGTGTGCCTTAGAGGGAAGGAGTTGGTGCCAAGAACTCCAGGGCTCCCGGTGAAGCCTTGGAGATGCCTCTGCCGGGGGGGAGCCTGGGAGGCAGCACCCCGGCGCCTTGACTGCATGGGAGCTGGGAGGCCGTCGGGGGGCCTCCCCTTAGATCACTAGGCTGACGCCCCACAGACCGACATAAACCGCATGCTCAGCCAGTCCTCTGGCCCCCTCTCCTCCAGTTCTTTGCTGTCATGAAGGCAAAATGTTCCAGCCCTTTCCACCTACATATTCCAGCATTTTAATCCAAACTGAGTCCTCTTGGGGCTGGAGCTTTTTCTTCTGAGAGGCCTTATTTCCAAATATCCCAAGGAGAAGAGACCGTGCCAGAGATTGTGCAACTTGGTAAGAAACCGAGGACCTGTGCTATTTGCTGAGTGTGGAGTTTATCATCTACGCACACAGGCAACGAAGCTGTCTCTCAGCTTCGTAACTGGCTGCGCAAAACCCCCCCAGCGACATCCGCAGTCAGAGGCCGCCTCTTATGAGCTGTTCTTATGTATTTATACCGTGGCATTTCTTTTAGATGGTGCAAATAAAACTTTTATTGGTGCTGCCTGGGTAGACGGGTGACTTATACCCAGCTGTGGGACGTCAGAAGGTATTTATGGAGTGGTCTTGTTGACAAACCGTAAAAGCGAGCCTTGAGTGATGTGAACGTTCAAGCCGTAGAAACGCAGGGGGGAAAAGATGAGCTTATAAAACAGACCGTTTGCATACATTTTTGTTTCTCACAATATCTGGACATCGACAAAACTCAGTTGCCTAAACAAAACATGTAAATAGCTGATATGGGGAGAGGTTCTGGGCTTTCTTTCCCCTTGCTGTTGGGCAACCTGACACACTGCTTTATGTTTGGCTAAAATGGCCAGTCGGCTTCAGTCTCCTAGTGGAAAGAAGCGTGTTAGATGCTTTGGTTTCTAATGGTTCTCTGGTCTCGCAGTCGGGCTTCCTCAGGATGTGGTGCCCACTGCCCTGGTCTCCTCGGCTGAGCTTGCTGTCTCTGGACCTGGTTACAGCTGGTCTAGTGGGAGGTTACAGACCCGGGTCCTCGGGCAGGAATCTTTGCAGCGATGACTTTTAAGGTCTTGAAAAAGCCAGCAGCGAAGACACTGCCCTGAAGTGACTCCAGATCCCCTCCTCGGTGAGTCACCCAGAGCCTGGCTGCCACCCGAGTCCTGCCCCGTCCCTGCCTGGCCAAGCCCCTGTGCCCATCTCACTGTGCCCGGGGAGGCCCAGACCACCCCGATGCCCACTTGCTCCGCCCAGCTGTTTGCACGAGGAGACCCTTCTCCCTACCTTTCGAGGGCCGCCCAGTTTCACTGTGCACGCCTCAGCTCAAACGTCAGCACCTCGGAGAGGCCGCCCTAGCTCAGCACCCTTCCCCTCCCACCCCAGGTTCCTCTCCGGCCCACCCCCTTATTTTGCTCCTTCCATAGCCGATTTCGGGATCAGAACTTGTTTTATGTACTTTGCCCGTCTCCACCGCCCGCCCCTGCTCTACGGGGCATCGTCTGTCACACTCGCCGCTGTCACGTGTCCTCATGTGCACGTGAGTATTTATTGAATTATTACCAAACAAGTGAAAAGTTTCCACAGCCCTGTGATCACAGTGACGGGGAGGCGGCCGGGGGTGGTCCCGTCTTGGAGGCTCTGACAGGGTTTGATTTCTAGCTCACCCGGCAATGGATGGCCCCCCGCGGGTCACGCCGCACAGAACCAAACCCACTGGGTCTTATTTACAAGCCAGAATCCCAGTTTGCTTATTTTTAATGAGAAAGAACTGGCGAGTCAACCAGGATCCTCATCAGGGTTATCTCCCCAGCAGGAAATCTTTTGTGAAAAGCCAAATCAAGATCAGAACAGCGAACTGAGCAGCGCTGATTGGAACTGTCGTCCTGGCTCCTGATAGTTCCTTCTCCGCTCACG